GCGGCGGCGGCCCGGCGGGGACCCGCGGCGTTCGGGGCGCTGCAGCGGACGCCGAGGACGGCACCGAGGAGACGGCGGGAGCGGCGCTGGTGCTGTCCGGGGACCTGCTGCTGGGCCGTGGCCCGGCCTCCGAGAAGGGACCGCCAGGTGCGTGCGGCCCCCGCGGAGACGCGGCCCCGCTCCGGCAGCGCCGCCGGCGGGGATGCGGCCCGGCCGCACCGGCCCCGCGCTCCGCGCATCCGGCAGCGCCCGCCCTGGCGGGGGCCCGCCCGCTGCGGACTCCAGCCTCGCTTCCTCTACTGCGGGACGAGGCCCGGCCCCCGGGTGGGCTCTGCCCGCCCGGCACCGACCCCCGAGCGCTCCCTGCCGGAAAGGGTCCCGGGCATGGCGTGTCCCCGCGGCCGCTCTGGGGCCGGGCTCCTTCCAGATCCGCCCCCCGCCCAGCTCCGGGCTCGGCTCTGCTGCCCACCCGGGAGCCGGGCCCGGCCGCAGCGTCCCGCCCTGCCGCCCCCCTCAGCGCTGAAACGCCCCCGGGGCGCTCCCAGCCCCGAGACCCCCGGCCCGGTGCCCCGGGCTCGGGGCAGTCCCAGCCGAGGCAGCCGGAGGAGCGAGTGCTGCTCAGCTCCATGGAGCTGCCTCACAGGGACCGGCAGGAGCCTCACTCCTTGCCCCTGGCAGTGAGCAACATGGGGATAGAACGGCGAGAGAAGGGGTCAGGGCCTGCCTGGCCCCGTGGCTGCCCCGAGGGCTGAGCCCTGCTCCCTGTGCTCGGTGGCCTTGCTGAGCTCCAGCACCGCTGCTGAGGCTCAGGCCCAGCTGCCTGGCAGATGTGGCTGTGCTTCCCTGTGTTGGGACAGCCACTCGGCTGCTCTGGAGGTGGGTGTTGCCAGGGCCCAAAGCCGCTGGGAATCCCTGTCCTCCCACTCAGCCCCAGCCAGGAGCAGGACTGGGACCTTGGGGCCCACAGGATGGACAGATTGTCCCCCCTGGGCAGCGCTGACACGGCTGCTTGGGAAGGTGCTCCAGGGATGCTGTGGTGCTGCTGGGCTGAGGGAGCAGGGGGCCCCTTGGTGTGGGGCTGAGCTGAAGGGACAGGGGAACCCTTGGCAAAGGGCTTGAGGTAGGGCCGAGGGTTCCCTGGCAAGATGCCCTGTTTTGGGGTCTGCGCTCCAGGCAGTGCTTGTGGAAGGGTCCCAGAGGCTGAAGGGGCCGCCCCATTCCACAGCATGGATCAGCCTGACCCCTCTGCCTGCCTGGGGCTCTGGGAGCTTGACCCAGCAGGGTGGGCAGCAGCGAGGGTACGGCCCAGGCTGCTTTCCAGGTCACAGGCAGCTGTTGGGTTTGACAGGCCCCAGGGCTGCAGGTCAGGAACAGGACAGGGTCAGCAGGACACGGCTTGTGGCTGGTAGTGGTGAGGCTTGGGCTGCATGTTCCTGCCTCTCCAGCCCTGAGCACCAACCTGGGGGTACATCTGGGGCACAGGGGCTGCAGGGGGATGAGTCTGTGCCCAGCGGGGAAGTGCCCCCTGAGAGCCTGGCACAGCCTTTCCCCCCACTGCCATGGGACAACAGTGCTGTGTAGGGCTGGGGAAGGCACTGCTTGCAGGATGGAGGGGGCTGGTGTTGGAGGCCCGTGGTGTCGGCCATGGGAGCATGACCAGCTGCTGACCATGGGGCTGGGGCAGTGGCACAGCGAGGGGGGCACGGAGCAGCTTTATGGGCACCCAGCTCTCCTACCTGGGCTGGGCTGCACCCACCACCTTCCCAACCGCCAGGCCCAGCAGTGCTGGTGGGTGCCTGATCCACCACTATCCCCTTGCCCTTTCTGGCACCAGGGTCTTGGCCAGCCATGCAGAAGTGTCAGGGTTTCCTGAGGTGCCCAGGACAAGCCCTCAGCAGGGTGTTGGGGCAGGCTGTGGCCATGGGGCTTCTCACTGCAGTGCACAGTGTGGCGGGCTCCCTCTGGGTGCCACAGGGTGGGTACAGCTGCCCAGACCCTTCTGGGACCGAGGGCACAGGTGGAGGGGCTTTTCCCAGGCCAGCCTGGCTGACGCTGCCCTATCCCCACGGTGTTCTCAGCAGACACGCTGGTGGGGAAGATCGCCATCCCAGCGTACGCCCTGAGTGACGACGACTGCTCCTCCGGGTACCAGCAGCTGAGTGTGGAGAGTGACCCCGAGGAGGGGGGCGAGCCCGGCCCCGCCGCCCTGCCCTGCCGCCAGTGCGGGCTGCAGCTGGCTGCCAGCCTGGGGCAGAGCTGCCTGCAGTGCGCTGGCGCCGAGGGCAGCCGCAGCCAGCGCATCGTCTACTCCTGCCAGCTCTGCCCCTTCGCCTCCCACTACTCCAGCCACCTCAAGCGCCACATGAAGACACACAACGGGGAGAAGCCCTTCGCCTGCCCGCAGTGTGCCTACGCCTCCGCCCAGCTGGTGAACCTGACGCGGCACCTGCGCACGCACACCGGGGAGAAGCCGTACCGCTGCACGTGCTGCAGCTTTGCCTGCAGCAGCCTGGGCAACCTCAAACGCCACGAGCGGGTCCACAGCCAGGACAAGCCCTTCCAGTGCGCTGCCTGTGACTACCGCTGCAGCCAGAGCCGCAACCTGAAGCGGCACATGCTCAGCCACCGCCTGCCCGAGAGCGACGGACCGCACCGGCGGGACAAGGACCCAGGTAAAGGTGGAGGGGTGTGGGGATGGGGGGAGAGCAGCTGGGAGGGCCCTGGGGCCGGGGTAGGGCACTGGTCCTGCCGTCGACCTGATGCCATGTACTGCATCAGGCTCACTGGGGCACCGGGGCTCCTCGCAGAGCCGATCCCCACTGGTGCTGTGCCACCCCGCTCACAGCCCTGTCTGTCTGTCCCACAGAGCCGCTGCTGCCGGAGCTGAGCCTGCACGTGGGCAGCGGCAGTGGCCCCTTCCTGCCCGGCTGTGCGCGGCTGCGGGGCGAGGAGGCGGCCGCGCTGCCCGAGCTACTCTTCCCCTTCACATGCCGCATGTGCGGGCTGGTGCTGGACGATGGGTTCGCGCAGGACGAGGGCCTGGCTGAGCAGGTCTGCGGGCGCTGCAGCCTGGCAGTGCTGGGCACCGAGCCGGGCGCCAGCCCTCGCAAGGGCACTGGGGACAAGGGCTTTGCCTGCAGCCTCTGCCCCTTTGTCACCCACTACCCCAACCACTTGGCACGGCACATGAAGACGCACAGCGGGGAGAAGCCCTTTGCCTGCCCGCTCTGCCCCTACGCCTCTGCCCACCTGGACAACCTGAAGCGGCACCAGCGCGTGCACACGGGTGAGAAGCCCTACAAGTGCCAGCTCTGCGACTACGCCTGTGGCAACCTGGCCAACCTCAAGCGTCATGGGCGCATCCACTCAGGCGACAAGCCCTTCCAGTGCAGCCTCTGCAGCTACAGCTGCAACCAGAGCATGAACCTGAAGCGGCATATGCTGCGGCACACAGGCGAGAAGCCCTTCCAGTGCCGGGACTGCTCCTACACCACTGGCCACTGGGACAACTACAAGCGCCACCAGAAGATCCACGGCCACACGGCCGAGAGCTGGGTGAACCCGCGCAATGCCAAAGCCCTCCTGGCCCCCCCGGCCGTGGGCACGGCCCTGCCTTGAGACAGCACTTAGCCCAGTGGCAGGCCTGGGGGGCCTCGGCCCCTGCCCTCCCTGGGGGAGGGAGGACGGGCAGGAGACTCTGCAGGGGCTCAGGGCTGCCTTACGCCAGGGCCTCCAGCAGCCCTGTCCTGCCTGAGCAGGGTGAAGCCACGACCGGCAGCACTGCCATGCCCCCAGCCACCCCACCTGCCTGTTCCTGCCTGCAGGAGCCTTCCTCTGCTGGGGTTTGGGGAAAGGGGGGGGAGGGGAGGACAGGACTGGTTCCATGGCTGTTGCCATGCTGGTCGGTGTAATTTATATTGTGTATAAAAGCATTAAACAGTCACTTTTGTTATTTGCTCTTCTCCCTGGGGGCCTTGTTCTGCCACAGGGAAGGACAGCACACGGAAGGTTGGGACAGCGGGCACCCCCCCAACAAACAGCCCAGTACCAATCAGGATCCATTTTAATCATTGTTGCAGTGTGTAAACATCAGTTACTGTCCATTAATGCTCTGTCGGGCTGAGCAGCAGGAGATACGTGGTTACAAGCCTAGATTACACTGGCATCTATGAGCGGGTTAGAGGGGGCTCGGCACGGAGCCCCCCGAGACAGCTTACTGCACTCTGTCTCGGAGCACAAACCTAAACACTAATTTGGCATTATGGAGCCTGCCCGGGGCTGCCCAGAGCAGCTGCCCCCAGGCTGGGCCAGGCCCTCCCGGCTGGGGAAGGGGCAGCTCTACCCCCTGTGCTGAGCCAGGCCCCACACCACTGCTCCAGGGCTCGGCCCAGGTGCGCTGCTCGGGTCTCCCAGCTGGAGCCAGCAGTGGGAGGAGTTCAGCTGCCCCCACCCCGAAGGCAACGGCAGGCTGGGGGCGAGCTCCCAGCCCCAGGGAGCAGGGGAAGGTGGATGTAGCAGGTGAGAGGCACGTTGATTGCAACCTGGCTGCAGGTCGTACATTCCTCAGCAAAGGCCCTCACTCGGGCCGGGGCTGTCCTGGGAAGGGGGGCACTACAGATCCTCATCGCCAATGCCCTCAAAGGCATAATTGCCGTGGAAGTCGTTAGCACCCACGTCATTAGCAGAGCTGGAGTGGCTGATCCCACGCAGGCTGACAGATGTGAGCTTGCTCTGTGGAGAGGGGAGATGTTAGAGAGGACCCTCCTAACTCCCCTCCCTGCTCAGCATGAGGGCACCGGCACACCCACACACAACTCACCGAGAGTTTGGCCATGGGCTCCCGGGAGGCATCGGGTGAGTCCTGTGGGGACACGACAGTCAGGAGCTCGGGGTCGTAGGACACGACATCCACCCATCCCACCACCCACCCTCCTGAGATGAGGCCAGGCCACCCTCTGTCCTTCCCTCCCCCAGGGAGTCAGGCTCACCGATGTGGGTCCAGGACCTCTTTCCCTTCCCAGTCGTCTGGGAGCGGGGCACCACAGCCCTGCTGTCCCCTGGGCTTGCCCCAGCCCTGCCAAAGGGACAGTGGCTTCTCTAGGAGCAATGGACTCTCTTACCCAACATGGTTGCGCATGTGCCCCGCCCAGGCCTGCGGGGCCCCACTCACCAGCAGAGGGGGCGACTTCACAGCTTGCTGGCTGTCCGAGCGCCGCAAGGCCCCGTTCACCCGCCGCCGAAACATCTGCAGGGAGGAGCTCGGCTCAGCCGCAGGGTCCCCGGAGGCAGCTCCGGGGCTTAAAATTGGCCCTAGGGATCTGTCCGCTGGCCCTACCCTGAGGGGAGCACTCAGGGCCCAGCCCAGACCCCAAGAAGTCACAGGGGCAGGTTAGGATCCCACCCCGGAGACACCATCCAGCCCCAACTCTCACCTTGCGGATGCTGCCTCCAGACTTTTTCACCATTAGCTCATCCACCATGGATTGCAGGCAGATGCTCAGCATGATGGCCTGCAAGGGAGAGGTGTCACGGGGCTCCACACACCCCACACGCTTCCCACACCCACACCAGGCCCAGACTGACCCTTTTCCCTGCAGCCACTGCCAGACCAGCATGCAGGCAGCCCTACCTGTGGGCTGGTGATGGTGACCCACTGCAACCGGTCCTTGCTCATCAGGTACTCAAAAGCCAACTCCAGCTTCACCTCGGACTTCCCCGGGCTGCTCCCTGAGGGGCCATTGCTCATTGGCACCTGCAAGGGCACACACTGAGCCTGGGAGCCTCCAGAGGGGAAGTGGCAGCTCCCCAGGCCCCAGTGCAGACCGAAGGCAGTGCTCAGTCAGGTGTGGGACACTTGCCCAGTGCCCACCAGCCTTCTGCCACCATCAGCTCCCCTCACGCCCCTTGAACGTCCTCACACCAACGATCCCCCAAGGCACAACTCGGACCCTCCCCAGGCCTGCTGGGCTGGAAGCCAGCGTCAGAGCCAGCACCTTTCCTGGGGAGAGGTGGCACAGCCAGGTCCCTCCAGCCTCCCGGAGCCCTCCCTGCTCCCCAGGCATCACTCACCGAGGATGTGACCCGCCAGCACCGCATGCGCGTGACCTTGAAGCTGCCCTCCTTGATCTGCTCGTTTGGCAGCCGCACCTGGAAGTTGAGCTCGTTGTTGCCAGCGCTGACGACGACGTGGCAGCCCTTCTCTGGGAAGTCGGTGACACAGGGGTCAAACTTGAGATAGCCGTAGTACTTGAGGGTCTGCGCCAGGCGGATGAACTGCGGGCAGATCCGGGGATGCTCAGCACCGCCGGCTGCCCACCCAGGCCAGGAACAGGTGACCAACCCGGCACCACACAGGAGCAGGGCTGGTGCAGCACCAGGACTGCCCCAGTCACGGCATCACACCCTCCCCTACCTCCTTCTTGGAGACTTTTTCCTGCAAGGATTTCAGCTGCCGGTGCTGTTCCTTGTTGACCACGATCCATCCGTGCTCAATGTCCGACACCGTCTACCAAGCAGCAGAGGCTGGTGAGCAGCTGGGCTCGGAGCCACCCGAGCCCACACACAGCCGTGGCTGAGGGGTGCAGTGCCCCTCCTCACCTGGCTGGGCCACACCGACCCTCACCTGCGCATACAGCAAGTTCAACCCCACACGATGCTCCATCACATCGTCATCGTAGGCCGAGTCCCAGTAGCTGGAAGAGAACCACATGGGTCAACCTATTCCCCAGCTCCTAACAGTGATGGGGAGAAAATCATCCTCCTGTGGGATGAGGCACCAGGCTGACTCTCTGGCCAGCTCTCCTGTAACCGTTGGTCACCATGCCCTGCTCCCCCTCTAAACAGGATGCCATGGGATGGGCTGAGCCAAGCAGGGCAGCCCATGCCCCGGTGTCATGGCCAGGTGTGTTCCTGGAGGCCAAAGCCCACGTGGGCAGCAGTGGCGGGAGAGCAGGGTCCCTCTGCTGAACAGGGAGCCTCAGACAGCACCCCACTGCTGCCCCCCGCTCACCTCTTGCGCAGGATGATCCGGAACTCGGGGTTGTGCAGACTGGTGACCGACACGTACGGCAGCTCAAACTCCTGCAGCTTCCGCACGACTGTGGGGAAACACCAGCTCAGCAGCAGCTCGGGGCAGCAGTGCCCCCCAGACCCCTCAGCCAGGGGGAACCCGCTGGGCCTCCCACCCAGGGCAGGGTCCAAGCACACAGCCCTCACTCCGGGCAGGGTACAGGGCAGATGTCCACTGCAGTGGGCTCTACTCACAGGAGAAAGCTCCGTCCTTGGTCTCTCTCACTAGGAAGAGGCTGAAGTAGCCAACCAGGTCATCTGGCAGATCCAGCTTGGAGGCTACAGCCTGGGAGTGAGAGCAGGAGGTCACCACTTCCCGAGAGAGGTGGCACTCCTGCATCCTGACCCTGCAGCAGGACCCAGCCCATGTGCTTTCTGGGGCCTCTCAACAGCAGGAAGCCAGCACCTCTGCTGCTCTGAGGCCAGGCCTGGGGCATCACTGCCACCAGGAAACAGCTGGGGGCCCCCTTGACATCAGTGTGGCCCCAGAGATACCCATCAGCACACCCTCTCCAGCTCCTAGCTCTTCAGTCCCACCAAGTCAACCCTGCTCTGGGGTGGGGATGTGGCAAGGAGGGCTGGGGGGGCTGCTGGGCTGTGAGAACCCCACACATGTGGGAAACCACAGAATGCAGCACGAGGAGCTGGTCACACCCAGCACAAGAGCTCTGGCACCTCAAGGACGTCCTCTGTCTGGTCCGAGGTGAGGATGGTGACCTTGACCTTCTGCCCATTGGAGAGCAGCACTTCCAGCACCACCTCCTCCGTAGGGATCTGCTGCGTCTCCTGGAGAGAGAAGCAGGACTGGCACCCCGGCCCCTGGGTGCAGCCTGAGGGCCCCTGCCCTGGCCCCACCCTCACCTGCTGGGCCTTGCGCAGGAAGCTGTTGAAGGTCTCGCTGCCTCCCAGCATCGGATCCTGCCGCACTGCGGGAAGGGGAGCGAGGAATCAGGAGTCCCTGAGAAGGGACAGGGACCCACACCAGTGCCCAGCCCCTCTGCACTCCTCGGTTTGCCCCCAGACTGTGCTGGGGCAGCCAGGGATCCCCTGCAGGGCCCCCCTCTGCCTGAGCAGGGCAGGGGATGGGACAGCAGCTGGCATCCAGAGGACAAGCCCAGCTAATGCCAGCGTGACACTGGGAGTGCCAAGATGGGCCCTGGAGAATGGAGCAGTTCAGGAGGAAGCCACGGGCAGTGCCTCAGTGCCCTGCACGACTGGGCTGGGGCAGGCAGGCCAGCTTACCAGCCTGCATGTACTTCTCCAGCTGCTCCCGTCGCTGCTCTACCTCCGCCGGGGTGAGCGTGAAGATCTTCTTTGGGGGAAAGGCTGGGACCACGTTGGCACCATACTCCTTCCTTAACTGGGAAAAGAACGGAGTGCTGCGAGAACCTCCCTGGATGTGGTGGCAGTCCCGAGCCCCCACCACAGCTGATTCCCAGGGACCCAGCAAGGGGAGCAGAGAGCTCACCAGCATCCCTTAGCCACGTGGGCAACCTGCAGTGTGCAAGAAGTCAGCTGGGATGTCACAGAGCAGGAGTGGGCAGCGCAGCTCCCCCCACCCTCCCTACCTGCTCGTGCAGCCCCAGGAGCTGGCTGTAGCGCACCCGGCAGTGCAACACCCCGTTCACGTGGATGTTGTAGGCCTGCAGGGAGAGACGCCAGTCAGATCCCAGCACATGCCGGATGGAGGGGACCCAGGGTCTGCCCAGCTCGAGGCACACAGGACACCTCAGGGAGCACCCAGGAAGAGGCGACGCCCCTGAGGACCCTGTCAAGGGACAGATTGTCAAAACCATTCAGGAAGAATGAGCACATCCAAGAGATGTGTGTGCTGGACACCAGAAAGGCCCAACCCTGTGACTGCCGAGCTACAGGGAGCACAGA